GTGCCTGCCAAGACCACCTTTTTGGTGTGCTGCTTGTAGGGCCAATCAGGTGGTGCTCCATTGTGGTGTGAAGCTAGCCACTGGATGTGTTGGATCTGGGGCCTCTTGGGAGAGGCTTTGTTGCAGGCCGAGGCCAGTTGTTGCCTGTGACCAATCCAGGGCCACCTGGTAGGAGCTACGAAGTGATCCAAGTTTGGTCACTGACTGTGCTGGACCTGAAGGTACATGGGAGAGGCCACACTGTGAACCAAAGCTGGCTGTCACCAGTACCAGGTCTGGAGCAGCTCAGCAAAAGGCCTAGTGTACCCTGAGGCCTTCTACTGCCTGCTGGCTGCTGGTCTCAGCCACTAAATGAACTGATAAGTTCTGGGTGGTAGGCAAGTTGGGTGAACCAAGGACTCAGGGAGTCACTAGGGTGGGGTGAATGGTGTTTACCAGGTAAATGTAGATTCAGATTCGGCACCAGTGCTGAGTCTGAGGTATAGGGCATACCAAGGTCAGCCGCTATCTGCCTGCGGCTTACAGACACCCAAGAATTGTCCAAAAGAGACTGTAGCCTGGCCTGAGGCTGGCTGCTCCTCTTTAAAAGGGCCTCCGGAGGCACGAGTTGGGTTTGGCAGTCACCAGGTTGGAGCAAGCAGAGTTTACCAGGCCAATGCAGATTCAGATTTGGCCGTGAGGGTAGAGGGTTCAACACAGGGACAATGGCAGCTGTCTCTCTAGTCCTTGCTCTGAAGCCACACAACTCAGTCTCTCCCTATATATCTCTGGCACCTCCCTAGCCACCATCCCTCTGCTGGAGGCCAGGGTGAATGCCTTTTAAGAGGATACCTGGGTATCCAGCAGCTTTCCATCTCAGAGATGGAATCCCCACTGATTTTCACAGCCAGATGTTGTGAGGCCTCCTCTTCCTGGCACTGCTGCTCCAGGCTAAGGAAGCTTGATGAGGAGCTGGGACCCCTTGCTCCTTAGGAGGGACCTCCACAACTAAGATATCCCTCTTGATTCTCAACTGCCACATGTGGGTATAAGGCCAGCCTGGTTCATGTCTCCACCCCTCCTATCAGTTTATGTATGGCTTCTTCCTTATATCATTAGTTATAGAACTTCTATTCAACTAGTATTCAGATAGTTCTCTGGGTTGATCGTTCTATAATTTAGTTGCAATTTTAATATGGACATGGGAGGAAGCAAGCACAGTGTTTACTTACTCGGCCATCTTGACCAGACCCTCAAAGTAATTGAAAAATTTCCTTTGCAGGTAGAAATAATGAAGTTCTGTTTCTCTGTTTCACAAAAAGGATGGGAAGTTTGTTTTATATTTATTAGAATGTAAGAATAAAACCAAACACTGATAGACATATTTAAGGCAAGCTCAGCTTTGTGGTGACATAGCCTTCTTTTTCTTGAACATACAAATATATTTTAAGTTTAAGTTAAACATATAAATCACACAGAGTAAAATAAATATGGGCGTGTAAAGAAGGCGAATAATGAGAGAGAAAGTGTATACTCATAATCTCTCAACACTTGATAGTCATGAGTAGAGACCAGTTATGAAATAGAGCCTACATAAAGTAAGATATAGACACAGGTTCTGGTAAGTTACAACATTAAGAAATATTGGAAACAAATGAAGTAAACACAAGAAAGGAGAAAGTGTCATGCAAATAGTAATCAACAAATGGCAATATTTGAAAATATAACAGATTAACTCTAGAAAACAGAGTTAATCTTGATTTATATTTTTTATTTGTAAAAGCGACTCTTTCTTGTTTTGGCAAAATGTTATAGAAATATATGAAGTCAAAAGCAAGTTTCCGTCCACATGCCTTTCTGCCTCAACCATTTCCCGAGGCAACATCAGGACACTGACATTGGAAAAGTCAGTGTATTAGACTAGACTGGGTGTCACTTAGACTATAGTTATTTAAAACATAAATTTTTTTATTATGGAAAATTTTAAACATGTTAGAGAGAATAACAAAATAAACTTTTTGGACTCATTATTCAACTTCCACAATTATTAACCTTTTGCTAGTCTTCATATTTACTTTTTAAGCTATGAAGTCCAAAATACTGGAGGTGATGGAACCAAATTTGGCATCAAAGAGTATAATTTATGCAGTGTGCTTTGGTGAAATGAATAGTGAACATCCTTCTTTTGGCACTCAAAGCCAAAAGAAGTAGCTGAAGATACAGAGTATTCTGTGATTAAATTAAATTTGCCCTGGGTGGAGATATGGTCAAGACTGCTCATTTATAATCTTATTGCCTTTATTTTCACTACTATTAACCTCAACCTTTCATATAGTGCCTATCACACAGTAGGTGCTCAAAAACTATTGTTGAATGAATGAACCTTATTTACAGTTTAGATCTCAGCAGCATGAAGGAAAGGTGCATTGTGGTATAAATAACCTTTGCAGAATGCTCCCTAATATATATTAGGTGGTTACTATGTGCTAGGCACCTGTGCTTACCAGGTGTTAGGTCCTAGTCTAGGTTTCTTACATGCAATACTTCATTTAATTCTTTCAAAAACTATGAAGTTGGTACTATTATCAAATTTTGTGTTTCATAGATATGCAACTAGTAAATTAGTCAAGATCACGTGGATAGTAAGGGGTAGATCTGAGATCAAACCCAGCAAGTGTGACCCCAGAACCTGTGCACGTAGCATAATTCTTTGCTGTTTCACCTCTGAATGTGTCTAAATTCCATCTATGATGCACTGAATAGATTTGGGCATTTAGATAGGTGGTAGTTGCACCTGTATTACAAAATTGACTCACTAAATCACTCCTTTGCAGTGGTGACTGATAATGGAAGGGCATTGTACATGGAACAGATTTTTTTTTGTTTTTTAAGCAGACTGTCATTTTTCATGAACACAAGGCACTTCTAAGCACTGTGTGGGAGGGAATGTGGTAGACTGATTTCATTGAGACCCTGCCAAATTCTGGTCTTGTGGCCATCAAAGATGCATCATTTCCTCCAAGACTTCTGAAGGGGGTTATTACCATGGCCTGCAGGTTCTGGTTTGCATTCAGAGGAGACTCTATCTTCTTAAGTGAGATGTGGAAGAGGAAGTGTCACAAATTGTAAATAAGGCTAAGAGAGAAGAATTGTTTGGAGATAGAGATGGAGAAAAATTGCTTTCTCCAAATCAGGTTCCATCTCCCTCCCCCTTATCCAACTTTGCCAGAGCCCATCCTGTTTTCTTTGCTAAGTTTACTAGCAGGAAGCAAGGAATTTCTTTTAGGATACTTCTGCCCCTGACAAATAAAAAACTCCGAGATTAAATATTAGTACATGTATACAGTGTAACATCATGCCACTATTAAAAAGAACAAGATGGAGCCCTGAGGGTTGATCTAGAATGATCTCCAAGTAATATTTTAAAGTGAAAAAAGGCCAGCACTCAAACAGTATTTATACTAAGGTTACTCTTTGAGGAAGTAGGAGGGTGATATTGCTATTCTTATACATGTACACAATTTGCTTGGGGAAAAAAAGAGTGGTACAAATGCTTGCTTCTGACAAAGGAAGGGCTTTTATTCTAAACCTTTTTATACTAAAAAAAATGTAAACTGTATACATAGATTATATTTCAGAGTTAAATTATTTCAAATGTCAACCTGGCAAGGTAGAAGAGTAAATACAGTAAAATGTTTTTAAAAATTAATGGAACAAAGCAACACTTTACATTAATCGTGTGTTTTAGAAGGAAGGGTTTGGACTAGAACTAGAAATAATAATTTTACCTCTTCATCTTCCTGAAAGATGGTCCTTAAGTTGTCATTCAGAAGCACCCGGGAAGTAGGAAACAGAGATCTGGAAGATCCCTATTTAATGAAGTTAGGAGACAGTTGATGTCACTCTCCAGGTGTGGGGAAAACTGAGAGAAAAGAAGGAACAAATGTGATCAGAAAGGAGTTCGAATTCTCCCGACAGTGCCGCAAGGAGTCTACAGATGCGGAGAGTTGCAAGGTTTGGTACGGAGTGTTCTGGGTGCCCAGGGTCTGGGAGCTTTCGGTTCATTGCTTCTCCAGTGAAGCTGCTTCTGGGCTTCCTTACCTTCAGCCTAAGGGCATCTTGGCTGGAAGCTCTGCTTTGAAAAGGGCCTTGGCCTAAGGCCCAAGAAGAGTCACCCTAGGGGCTCCTTGTGGGATAGCACTGCCGATAAAATCCCTTTATCAAGGACAGCCGCACTCGATGGATGGGTGACCCTCACGCCGCGGGTATCTAGCCACCTGGAGGCCTGACGTAGGTTTTTGCTGAAAGTCAGTTTCGGAGGGGGAGGGGGCTCAAATTTAAATGCCTTTTGGGGCTAGAAAGGTAACAACAACAACAACAACAACAACAACAACAAAAACACTTGAAGCAGCCAGATACAAGAGGAAAGAGAGGGAACTTTGGAGAATTGGGCAAGTATATTCCAACTAAAAGCATTCAGATTCAGGTTTTTAAACTACAATTGTAGTGGCCAAGCAAAACACTAGCAGAGTTTACCAGCACTGCCAATTTGCCATCACTGCCAATTTGCCATCCTGCGTTCCTCTCTGCTCAAAATCCGCTTCTCCCTAGTTGCTTCAACCTGCTCCTGATCCTCCACCTGTCCCCACTTCAGCCTCTTGTGGTGCCGAGGACCAAACTTTGGCGCTCCTCCTGAGGGCGCAGTGTCCCTCGTTGTGCTCGCAGTATTGCTCCCCAATATCTCTTGGGACCAGCAACCGACTGAACCTTGGTGTGGCTCAGAATCCTTTACAAGCTACATTTTATTTCAGTCAGAAACGGGTTGTTGTGCCCCAGGGGTTCTCCTTCGGACGATTCCGGGCCTGGCGCTGTCCCGGGCCAAGTGGGAAGATAGGCAGACATAGTGGGTGTGGGTATCCCGGGATCCAGGCCGGGTACCCGGTTGAGGGGCGGGGCGGGCCGTAAAGGGGGTGCCCCGCCCCCAGACCCGCCCCGCATGGTCCTGCCCCTGCGCTCTAGAGTTTCGGTCCCTGCTCCCACCCTGCTCTGAGTCTGCGGACCCCGGGAGAGCAGGCGGTTTGTGGTTGTTTCCTCTGCCCGCGCGGGGCATCACTTGGCGCGCTACAGAAAGCCCAGAGCTGTCCCGCAGCCGGGATACTTACCGGCACCCGCAGACGCACCTACAGCTGCTGTCCGAGCCAGGGCACCCTCACCCTGCGCTCCCCGGCGTCCTGCTCTGCGGCGCGAGTTCCACCTCCGCGCCTTCTTGGAGGGGCGGGCCGGGGGAGAAAGAACCGGCGCTTAAATTCTGGGCGCTGCGCCCGGCGCGAGGTGCGGGATGGGGAGCAAGGCGCTGCTGGCCATCGCTCTGTGGCTCTGCGTGGAGACCTGGGTTGCCTCTGTGGGTAAGGAGCCCGCTCCCTAGAGGAAGGCAGAGAGGTCGGGTGCGGGCGGAGAGATGGGGATGCGGAGAAGACCTGGAGGTCGGGTCTAACTCAGAATCATAGAGCTGGAGGGTTGAAAGTGATCTGACATTTTGTTCCTTCATTTACCAAAGAGGAAACTGAGGATCAGCGAGTGGCCTAAGATTGATTACCTAGAGAGCTGGTGGTCTCCTGAACCCAGTTCATTTTCCACGACTCTAGTCTCCGATGGGGGTGTCGGCTGGAGCGTGTCCTGAGCAACCAACACGCCCTCGGACTCGCGGGAGGGGGGGGGCGGGGG